GAGGCAGCGGCTGCAGCGGCCGCTTCGCGGCGGCAGAGCGCTGTAGCGGAGCGCTGCAGCGGCAGCTGCGCCGCGGCACACGTCTTTATTCCCAGCACTCGGGAGGCAGAGGCAGAGGCAGGGGGATCTCTGTGAGTTGGAGGCCAGCCTGGTCTACAGATCAAAATCCAGGACAGGCACCAAAACTACACAGAGAAACCCTGTCTCGAAACCCGCCCCCCCCAAAAAAAAACACCAATAATAATAACAGTTGCAGCAGGGCGGTGGTGGCGCACGCCTTTAATCCCAGAGCTTGGGAGGCAGAGACAGGCAGATCTCTGAGTTCCAGGACAACTAGGGCTATTACAGAGAAACCCTGTCTCCAAAAATAAGACAAACAAGCAAACAAAAAAACCATTTGCTTTTCCCTTAATTATCCATGGTTTCTAAGAGACATTTCTGAAAATGCATTCATTCATTCATGTACTAAATTTAGTTAAGCCCCAAGTACATGCCAGACATTGTTCTTTGTCACTGGGAACCAAAAACAAATCAAAATCCTTGTTCTCCTGGACTTGCTATTCCATGGGGGCAGCACAGTAGACTAATGAAGTCTCAAGCAGTAAGCACTGCAGGAAAAACCCCCAGAGGAGGAGAACAGCAAGAGCCAAGTACTACTAAATGAGTGCTGGGAGAAAGTCTTTGATCTAAGTTAGATGTGAGCTAAGACCTAAAAGAAATGAGAAGGAAAGCCACATGTGTGTCTGGAAAAAGAGCAGAGGCATCATCCCATTGTAACTGTGTCAAGAACTATCAAGAAACATCAAGGTAAGGGTAGGTATATGGAACAGAATGAGACTATTAGCGCATGAATTAAAGAGGTAGAGTAGATAAGACACAGTTCTCTCGGGGCCTTAAAAGTAAAAATGAAATGACCATGTCATGGTTTGCACAGCATAGTCCCAGTGTATGCTTGCTGTTCTGCCCTTTTTTTTTTTTTTTTTAAATGTGTGGCACTGGAGAGCCAGAGCCAGGACCTGGCAAAAGCTCTACCACTAGGCTACATTTCTGACCCACTGGACATTATTATTATTGAAACATAATACCAAGCAGCCCAAGCTGACAGCAAACTCCCTATGTTGCCTACAGGCTGTTCTTTAATTTCTGATCCTCCTGCCTTGACCTCCAAAGTGCTGGACTACAGGTGTGCACTATTATATTTACAGCATTTTTTTTTCATGTTCAAAGGTATCCTGGTTTGGACCACAAATTTTATGATCACTCTAATATAGAAATAATTCTAAAAACTTTTTTTGGTGTGTTTTTTGTTTTTGTTTGTGGGTTTGTGTCTCTGTCTGGTTTCTTTGTGTGTGTGTGGGGGGGTGGTTATTGGTTGGTTAGAGACAGGGTTTTACTATGTAGCCCTAGCTGTCCTAGAACTGACTATGCAGACCCACCTGCCTCTGCGGGAATTAAAGCCATGCCCCACCCTGTCTAGCTGTGGGGTATTTTTTGAAATAAGGTCTCACTATGTAGTTTGAGGCTGGCCTAAAGCTTGGGGTCCTCTTCCTTTAGTTTCCCAAATGCTGAGATCCCAGGCATATATTATCTATCACCAAACCCAGCTCCCGGGTTAGATATTGAAATGTATGGATCTGGACACAGAATATGGAATTCAGCTGTCTCTGCTTGAGATAGATATATTTAGGGATCATCACACAAATGGTGCAGGACTAAAATTATATTATTCTACAGCAATATAAAACAGGTGCCTCTCCATAAACCAAGTCCAAAAAATAGAACACAATTCAATAAATTTATACAACTCCTCTATAGAAAACCAAATCACACAATCCATGACCAGTCTTTTTCCCACAGCTATGCACAAGACTTATGTGAAACTTTCTCTTGGGTTCTTGTTTGTTTTTTGTTTTTTTTTTGAGACAGGATTTCAAATGTGTAGCCCTGGCTGTCCTGGCACTCTGTAGACCAAGCTGGCCTCGGACTCACGGAGATCCGCCTGCCTCTGCCTCCAGAGTGCTGGGATTAAAGGCGTGCGCCACCACCGGCGGGCTCTCTGGGATTCTTAGGAACTCTTACAATAGAAGTGTATCACTACAAGAATTCCTAAACATGACAGCTATTTCTGTCAGTCAGAAGCGGTGGGGAGGGGAGGAGCCACACACCTGTAATCCTAACACTTAGAAGATGGAGGATTATGCGTTCAAAAAAAAAAAAAAATTCTCAGCCAGGTGTATTGGCCCACACTAGTAATCCCAGCACGAAAGAGGCTGAACCAGAACTGAAGGTTGGAAGACCCCGTCTCAAGAAGAAAAAAAAAGACACCTCTTTTAGCAAGGTTAAGCTTTGTCTCATTCAATAAATAGTACATCAAAACTGAAAAGAAATGTTTTAAAAGAGTATGTGAAGCCGTCTCTAATGCTTTTAGTCATGTACAATCAAGTATTTAATTCTCCAGTAACAAAATATCACAAATACTTCCTAATGTCTGCATACTAATGTACTTTCCTGGAAACCCGACGGAGCCTAACAATAGATAGGTAAAAGGTGAAAACTTTTATGAACCTCAGCTAGAAGATGTAAAACAGAGTTCCAAAATTTCATGATGCCTTTTCTTCGCACACTGAGCCATCAGTGTATTCTGCTTGTATTCTAAAGGGATTAACACCCTACTCACGCCCCAAGGCATTTCATAGGTAACTAGGTGACTGAAATCGGCAGGCTCATTAGGAAAAAGTATTTCACTTTCACTACATTCAAAGAGACTTCGAACGCTTTCAAATGTTTCGGAAAGACCCAATTCACAATGTAATATTTTAAACAGAATCTAAACAATCTATCTCCTGAGCCCGAAGAGAAACAATTGCAACCTACATTTAAAACATTGTAAAAAGGCTATAAAACATTTCCCTTCTTTGAAAACCGCGTTCAGTTACGAGCCCTAAACGCTTACTCTCAGTCTTAGGGTTTTAAAGAGTCCACCAAGAAATCAATAGAGTTCTGTTGGGAACTCAAGACAAAAATTCTATAACCAATCTTCGGCGCAAGTGTAACACGCGAAACTAACCAGTCTCCGCGCTTTCATCGCCAACCAGATCCCCAATACTAACCTCCTCCACGTCCCCGGAACCTGAACCCCATGAATTTCAAAATTCTACACTAAACAGCCGCGCTCAATAAACAGCAGGCACAAGCCTCTATCGACCCACAGGGCGGGAAGGGCAAGTGGGGAGCCGGGGAGCCGGGAAGCAGGTATGGGTTCGCTGCACTTACAAGTCCGTCAAGACCAAGAGCTCCGAGTAGGCCCGGTGGAGGAGAAATTCGATGAGCGTGCGAAGCCGGTAACCAGGGCTAGCCGCGGCCGCAGCTGCCGCCGCCACCGCGGCTCCAGGAGGCGGAGGAACCGGGACAGACGCTGAGCCGCTGCCGCCGCCGCCACCGCCACCGCCACCGCTGCCCGGAGGGATCAGCTGGTGGTTCTCCAGCTGCACTGGGGCCATGGCGGCGCACAGCCCGGCTTGGCGCAACCGCCCGAGATGCGGCCCTGGAGCCTGCTCCCGGGCTCGGTGACCGCACCGAGGCGGGCGCAGGCAGTGTGGCGGCCACCTAGCGCAAGGCCGCCTCTGAACAGGAAGCCAAACCCGTGTTGCGGAGGCCCGCCCCCATGTAGGGCCGGGCCGGCCGGCCGCAGGGAGGCGAGTGCGGAGCGGGAGGGCGGAGAGGCGGGCCGGCCGCCGCTCAAGGGAGCGAGCTTCAGCGACTGCTCAGCGGCCGCCCGGCCGGTGGGCTGCAGCGTCCATGTTGCTGGGCCTGGAGCGGAAGTCACCAGGCAGAACGGAAGGGGAACCCGCGGGAGGCCCTTTCCACGGGCAACCTTTGACGGTTCCCCGCGCTATTCTGTATTGGGGGGGAGGGGTGGGGTGGGGGGAGGGGGAGGGGTGGGAGAAGGGCGGGGCAGGGCGGCGCGTGGGCGGGAAAGCGGAAAGGGGGGGGTGATGAAGCGGACCGCCGGAAGCCGCGCCGCCAACCGGGGGGGCGCGTCACGTAACGTCAGTAGTCCCTGGACGCTCCTTTCCCCCCCCCTGGCCACGGCAGCCCGGCGGTGGGCTGCAGGAGGGTTGGCAGAGAAGCCACCCGTCTCCCGTCTCTACCCTCGGGGCCCAGCGCTACGGCGAGCCCCTCTCCAGCCGCCGGTGGTGACCGCGCACCGTGACTCTCCCACGCGCGCTCCGCCCATACGCGTCTCTGGCGCGACGCGTGGGAGACGCTACCGTCATTCTTTCTTTCTTTCTGTCTCTTTTTTCGTTAACTGTGGGAAAAAGGGGCGAGAAAATGGAACGGGACAGGAGCCGCAGCACAATAACGTCATTTGAATGCAGTCTCCTGTGCTCCGAGCTCGTTGCTGTCACTCAAAGCGTCTGTGAAACACATGCAGTCCTTAAATCCTTCGCTGGCACTCTTGGCTTTTGTCCCTGCCCTTGCAGTAGCCGCCCTGTCCTGCATGGGTTCTTACTTCATATTTCCTTATCGCCTCTTTCCCTCCAAAAATCCACAAATATTTTTGTATGTGTTTTCTAATCTTGGCTCCTGGTTGGAATCACGTACAAGCCTTTAAGAAAGAAAAGGTCTACGGGTTCCATACCCATAGATTCAGATGCAATTGTTCTTGCGTGATGTCTGGACTTCGGGTTTTTTTTAGTAGTTATCTAGCGAGTCTCACGCACAACTCACGGAGAAATTCACTGTTAAAAGCGTCTGTTTCTGTGACCCTAAACATCGTTTTGCAGCTTCATCTCCCGCAGGTGTCACAGATGCTGATCCGAAGGTTAGATAATTCTCTTTGTTCTCCACTTGTACAATTGCGGTACTCGTTTTGATTCTTGGTCTCACTGTATTGTCGGGGCTGGCCTTTTGGCTCTTGAGCTCAAAGTAGTTGGGACCACAAGCTCCTGCACTACCTCACCCACTTTCCAGATAAATCGTTTATTTCTGGGGTACAGTGTTAAATCGCAATGCGTGAATACACTCCTGAATGAACAAATCGGATTCATTAACGAACGTACCTATCACCTCTCATACTTTATTCTTTGGGGTGAGAACAACTAATACATCACCTCCTGCCGCACCCTTGCCTATCTACATACAGTAGGTAGGAATTCTGCCATTATATCCCCAGCCATTTCTTGTTGAGATGGGTTCTTAAATGACATAGGCTTACCTGGAACTTGCGACATAATTTAGATTTATATCGAAGTAACTGGGATTATAGATGTACATTTCTATGTCCAATTCAAATCCACTCTTAACTATAGAAGATGCTATTAACTTTAGGAGATGCTACTAACTTGCCACGTTTGAATATTGCTACCTGAAACGTTGTATCTTTTCAGTAACATTTCCCTTTTCCCTGACCTCAGTTTCTGATAAAAAAAAAAAAAAATCTTTACTGTTGCTTCAATGAATTGGATATTTTAAGATTCCACTTAAAGTGAGATGAGAAGCCGGGCGGTGGTGGCGCACGCCTTTAATCCCAGCACTTGGGAGGCAGAGGCAGGCGGATCTCTGTGAGTTCGAGGCCAGCCTGGGCTACCAAGTGAGTCCCAGGAAAGGCGCAAAGCTACACAGAGAAACCCTATCTCGAAAAAACCAAAAAAAAAAAAAAAAAAAAAAAAAAGTGAGATGAGATACTGGCTTTGTTTGCCTATATCTGTATACAGTATATATATATATATATATATATATATATATATATATATATATATATATAGTATAATGTCCTCTAAATCCATCCATGTTGTTACAGATGACCTTTCATTGTTTGCCTAAAGTAAGCAATAGTCCATTGTGTATTAGATACAGTACACAACTTTTTTTATATGCCCACGGTCTTACAGTATAACCCAGCCTGACCTAAAGTGAGCAATAGTCCATTATGTATTAGATACAGTACACAACTTTTTTATATGCCCACGGTCTTACAGTATAACCCAGACTGACCTAAAACAAGCAATAGTCCGCTGTGTGTTAGATCCAGTACACAACTTTTTTATATGCCCAAGGTCTCACAGTATAACCCAGACTGACCTTAAGCTAACTTCCTCCTGCCTCACTCCTGAATGCTAGGCTATTGTGCATGAGCCACCTCACCCAGACACATTTGTGTGTGTGTGTGTGTGTGTGTGTGTGTGTGTGTGTGTGTGTGTGTGTGGTGGGGAGTCAAGCACAGAATCTCAAGAATGCTAGGCAAGCTATCTGCCACTAAGCTACATCTCCAGCCCCGCAGTCACATTTTTTTTTCTATCCATTTGCTGATAGGCACTTTTTTAAAATTTCTTTATCTTGGCTATTATGAATGATGCTGTATTTGCCAGGTGTGGTGGTGTACTCCTGTGATCCCAAAACTTTGGAAGTAGAGGCAGGAAAACCAAAAGTTGAATCATTCTCAACTACATAACAGTTCAAGGCTAGCCTGGACTATATGTGACCCTGTCTCAAAAATTAAAAGTATTGAGCTGCCTTAAGATAGTAATGCAGATATCTTTGGGGCATACTGATTTCACTTCCTTTTAATGTATACCCAGAAAATTGGATTACTGGATCACTTAGTAATCTCTTTAGTAGTTCTAGACCCCTCCATACTGTTTTCCAAAATGGTTGTAGTAATTTTGAATTCTCACCAACAGTATACAAGAGTTCTTTTTTCTCCTCATCCTCACCGTTTGCTTCTTTTTGTTCACAGGCATTCTAGCAGATGTAAGGTCATATCTTTTTTTTACTTTTCAGGGTGGGACAGATAACATATTTGTGTCAGCTAGAATCAGATCATTTATTTTCCAGTTTTGACTTGTCTTATTAAAGTTTTTTCTCTCTCTCTTTTAAAAACAATACTGACTTCAATTAAGACATTCTGGTTGCCACATACAAAAGATGGTTGTATAAGATTAAATCTTCTCTAATACTTTGTATTTCTGTATGATGTTGATAAGATTTCAGTTGTGTTTTCTTGTATAAACGCACTCACAAACCTTGCCTTTTGGTATTTGTTCTATTAGGCAGCAAGGGAGAGAGAGAATCTTGCCAATTTGTCAGTAAAAGGAAACTATCAGGGTGGGACACAGAGGCAGGCAGAGCTCTGTGAGTTCAGAGCCAGCCTGGTCTAGTCTACATAGGGATTTCTAAGCTAAATAGGTCTTATCTCAAAAAAGATAGAAAATCTTGCCAATTTGTCAGTAAAAGGAAACTATCAGGGTGGGACACAGAGGCAGGCAGAGCTCTGTGAGTTCAGAGCCAGCCTGGTCTAGTCTACATAGGGATTTCTAAGCTAAATAGGTCTTATCTCAAAAAAGATAGAAAATCTTAGGCTTAGAATTGTAGTTTTTTCTAGCTATGCTAAAATTCAATAGCCTATAAATAAATGGTTGCTAATGGGTGAACAAAGGAAGAAGAAAAAGAGAGAAACTTTTCGTAGGAAAGGGAACCCATTTAGAATCTAAATATTAGCCAGGTGTAGTGATGCGCATCTTTAATCCCAGTACTCGGAAGGTAGAGGCAGGCAGATCCCTGAATTAGAGGCCAGCCTGGGCTACACAAAGAAACCCTGTCTCAAAACAAAAAACAAAAAAGAAACAATCCAATGATTATATTCTTCCTTAAGAGATGTTTTTTTCCCTGCCTTGCTAAAGAGGACCCCACCTGTGGTTCTGTTTCAATTTATTTCCTCTGAATTAAAACGTTCAATTCTGGAAAGACTCAAGAGGTTCCTAAGACTCAGAAAACTAAGGATATAAAGGAACGCCCTTGAAATTTACAAGACTTGGGAAGCTCAGAAAGTTTTAAGATTCACGGGGGGCCTCTCCCCAGGAAAGAGCCAAACAAGTCTCAGCACAGTAAACATCAGAACCGTCATCAGCATAATAGCTAATCCCCAAGTTCCAGTGCCCTCAAGTCTGGGAATGGGCCCTCCTGGAGCCTCATGAGCAATGTATGTGCATAATGAGTAGAACCACAGCTGAAGGACCCAGGGCCAGGGGCTGCAACTTGATAACTTGATTCTTTTGTACTTTTAGTTTTAGTTTCACTTTGCTTGCTTGCCTGCTTGCTTTTTTTTTGGGGGGGGGGTGGTTTTTGTTTTTCAAGACAGGGTTTCTTTGTGTAGCTCCAGCTTTACTGGAACTCACTCTGTATTCCAGGCTGGCCTCGAATTCACAGAGATCCCCTGCCTCTGCCTCCCAAGTGCTGGACTCAAAGGTGTGCACCACCACTACTCAGTGTAATTTCTTCATTAGTAATTGATGTGGGAGGGCCCAGCCCATTGTGAGTGATGCTACCCCAGGGAGGCAGTCCTACCCCCTGGGTAGGTGGGTCTGGGGTGTATAAGAAAACAAACTGAGCAAGCCAGGAAGGGCAAGCCAATAAGCAGCATTTCTCCATGGTCTCTGTATCCTTCTTGCAGGTTCCTGCCCTTTGGGAATTCCTGCCCCGACTTCCCTCAGTAATAGACTTTGAAAAATAAACCCTTTCTTCTCCAAGTTTCTTTTGGTCTGGTGTTTCATCACAATAGTAACCCTAAGTATTACACTCTGTATACCAAGCTGGCCTTGAACTCATGATGGTCCCCCTGCCTCAGCCTCCAAGGCTTACAGATGAGAGCCACCCTGCAGAGCCTTCTGAGAGTTCATGACTTTGTCTTTCCCATATCCGATAGATACTAAGTGTGAAGTTAGCAAACTGCTACGAGAAATGGGGAGAGAGCTAAGTCAGTCAAGTGTCTGCTCCCCAGGCATAAGGGCCTGCCTTTGAGCTTCTGAACTGATGGGGGCGGGGAGAAGGCATGCTTGTGCACACTTGTAATCAGCCTAGCCTGTTCGGGGAGGTCCAAGCCAGTGAGAGAACACCTCCACAAAAGAAAATGCAGTGGCTAGCCACTGAGGTCCTCTAGCCACACATCCTCATATACATGTGCACATGCACACAGAGAGAGAGAGAGAAAGAGGGGGAAGTGAGAGAGAGAGAGAGAGAGAGAGAGAGAGAGAGAGAGAGAGAGAGAGAGAGACCAAGATAACTTTTATGCTTGATTTCCTGAACTGGCCTCAATAAAAATTTGCTCTTTAATCGTATAAAAAAGAGCTTATGTTAGCTAGTTAAATAGAAATACTAGTTTGATTTGCTTCAGCCTTTAACTCTCCTAAGAAACTCAAAACTATTCTGAGAGTTCTTTTACGCCCTAAAGTTTGGTGGGGAGGGGCTGGAAGGAAACTGGGAGACTAACCAAAGAAGTTCTGTAGGCTAGGTCACTTTTATATAAATTAAATAGCTTAACTACTTGTCAGAGATTGTGGACCTTCAGGTGAAAGAAAATGCACTCCTGCGAGCACACAGATTGATGCAGTAGGTGTCTACAAAGTTACTTCCCTGCCAGGTTTCAGTTCCCTTGTCAATGAGAGGCAATACTGGAATACTCTAAAATAGAAACCAAGAGGGCTGGGGGCAAGAGACTTAGCAGTCAAGAGTGCGTGCTGCTTTTCCAAAGGACAAGAGTTCAGTCCCCAGCACCTACCTCAGGAGGCTTCCATCTGCCTGCAAGTTCAGCTCTAGAGGATCCAGTGCCGCCTTTTGGCCTCCACAGGCAAAAAGAGGCTGGAAGCTTTCCAGTATGCTCGGGTTACTGACATGTCCCTACTCCCCAGCACCTTCTCTGTCCTTGTAAATGAATTGTGGTTTACCCCAAGAGAGGAGGACCTGGGACTTCTTATCCCCCGTCTCCATTCCCCATGTATTGGGATTAGAGGTCTACACTACCATGCCCAATGGATGAGGACTGAAGATGGGTTTTTTGCACGTTAGGCAAGAACTCTAACAACTGAGCTCCATCCCCAAATCAAGATGTAGTATCTTCCGAAATATTAGCTAAAGTTCCAAAGAAGTAAGTGTGCTATCATTGGGGAGAAAAGTCAACATTTCTCAAGTAGAAAAATATTAGCAACTTTTTGCTATTGTTAAAGTTGTGTTTTTATTTTATCTTTAAAAAGTTGTGGCTTTTTATAAGCTTTGCTGATGCTCAGAACAAATACACAATGGACAAACATTCATATCTATAGGTGGGGGCAACTAAATAGAAATCATAAAGGAGGTCCCAGGCTTTGGCTGCAGTTTCTAGTTCATCTTTACAGTTTGGACTATATAGCATGTTTAAGGCTAGACTGGGCCATAAAGGGGGACCTTATCTCAGGAAAAGTAAGATATGAGCTGGGTGATGGTGGCACACGCCTTTAATCCCAGTGCTTGGGAGGTAGATCCAAGTGGATCTCTGAGTTCGAGGCCAGCCTGGTCTGCAAAGTGAGTTCCAGAACAGCTAAAGCTGTTACACAGACAAATCCTGTCTCGGAAAAAAAAAAAAAAAAGAAAAGAAAGGAAGGAAGGAAAGGAAAGGAGAGAGAGAAGAAAGAAGGAAAGAAAGAAAGAGAAAAAGAAAAAGAAAGAAAGAAAAAAGGTGCCAGGCATGGTAGTGCATGCACACATTTAATTCCAGAACTCAGGAGGGAGAAGCAGGTAGATCTCTGCAAGTTGGAAGCCAGCCTGGTCTACATACAGTTCCAGGCATACAGGCCTACCTAGTAAGACCTTATCTCAATTCTAAAGAAAGAAAAGAAAAGATGTTACATTTTACTCACTCACTGCCTAAATCATCTTTGCTCTTATTGGCAGGCCCAAGAAGGCTTTCCAGCACATCCTCTGAGGTCTCAAGCTGCAGCTCATTTGCTCTCTGGGGAACATTCTACAACCTCTGGAGACACTTTGAGTTGCCAGGTATGGGATTGGGGTTGGCCGAAGCCAATGACACTGGGAAGCTCCTGTAGTGCACAGGACAGCCCTCTTACAACAAGGAATTATTTGGTCCCAAGTCATTGGTGCTGAGGACAAGAAACCCTACTCAAAAACAACAACACAACTCTTCACAATTGAAACCCAGACACTTGGTCCTCTGGAAGAAAGATTGTAGGAAGACTTCCTGCTAGCTGTGATGAGAAGGTCATTACCAGGTACTCTTAACTAGCACAACACTAATACTCTGGGCGATTGCTCCTTGGACCCTGGTATCTCAAAGGGTTGTAAGATGTTCTTAAAGCACAGGATGACTGGGCCACAGCCTGATGTGGATGGATTTCATCCACTTATAACACAAGAAATGGTCCTTTTTTGTCAGGCTAAAGATTAAATTGTTGAGCCCTTTAAAACTGTAGCACATGCCTTTAGTCCCAGCACTAGGGAGGCAGAGGCAAGCAGATCTTTGTGAGTCCCAGGACAGCCTAGTCTACCCAGTGATTTCTAAGCCAGTCAGGGCTATACAGTGAGACTCTGTAAAACAACTATGATAATTTGAATGGCCATGGTCTTTTTTTTTTTAATGAATCAGGATCTGTGTAACAGCCCTGGCTATATTGGAACTCACTCTGTAGACCAGGCTGGCCTTGACCTCACAGAGATCCTCCTGCCTCTGCTTCCCAAGTGCTGGGACTAAAGGTGTGCACTTCCACTCCTGGCTCAGCCATAGCCTTAATGTTGTCCTTTGCACCTTTTATCACTTCTTGGTGCCAACAATGCACCTGGCTGCAGTTTGCTTGGGATTTGTCTCAAATGTAAGTAAGCGACTGTTTGAGTTTGTATTCATTCTATTCATTGTCTACCCAAGTGCCTTTAGTATAGATGTTTTGTGATAGACCAGTCCATTTACCAAGTAGCTTCCTTGGTAATTGTGCTTAACAGCAAGTACTCTACAGGGACTAAGGAGATGTCTTTGAAAAACTAGGTTAAGTTAGTTACTACTCCCATACTGCCTCTGGACTTCTCAGAAAAGAGAAGATAGCTTGTTTCAGTTTAATTTAGATACATTTGACTTCTTTTCAAAGTCTACTACAAAGCTTACTTTGTAGCAAAACATGTTACATTTGTCAATGTTACAGTGTTCAAATGTGTTATCAACTCATAAATGCTACTGTTCAGTCTTTACTACATAAATTAACAGTTCCTCTCACAAGGGAAGGAATATGAAAGCTTGACTCTGTTTACATGGCCTTCCTGTGAGTGGATTTCAGTGGTGCAAATCTAGATTTCAAAAAAAGAATGTCCTGGGAACTGAATGTCATGGCTCTTGGCCAAAAGAAGGGCCTGAGAAAGTAAAAGCTCAGAGTGAAACAGTGCCAAGCTGCCTAGCCATTCCGTAGGCTGGAATGATACACAGATAAAGCCAGCTGAACAGGTACCAGAAAATAACCGTTCTCCCAAAGGATCGCTACGGCTAGAAAGTAATGTAACAACCAGCACCTTTGGGTGACTACTGCTCCCAGGCTGACTGAGAAACCTGTTTTTCTAAAGTACCTGTTGAAATGCTATCTTTCAGAATAAAGCCTGTGAGGAGTGGGCTGAAGAAGTTGCTCAGTGGTTAAGAGCACTTGCTGCTCTTACAGAGGTCTGAAGTTCAGTGCCCATCACCCACATGGCTGGCTCACAACCATCTGTTGCTTCAGCTGCCTCTTCTGGACTCCATGGGTACCTGCACACACATGGCATCTATAAATGCCGACCACACAATAGGAATCATGCCCATGCTGCCAAATGAAGGGAAGGAGAGGATGACTGTGGAGTTTAGGGGAATGCTGGGGGCTGGTGAAATGTAAATGAATCACTTTTGCAGTAGGGCTCAAAGCAAGGCTGAACACAAAGGCTCAGGTTAGCTCCAAACTGCCCAAAGCAAGTGGGGCTTCCGCGGGCTCTACAAGGAGTATATGTGAAATCTTGACTCAGGAACTCCAAACTAAAACCACCATGCCCAGCTCTTTGTTTTCTACAGTGTCTTCAACAAGATGGAATGAGTCAAAATCGAAGGAAACTCCAAATTCCAAGCTAAAAGTAAAGCTTAGAGAAAAACAGTATTCCAGATGAAAATAGAAATTATAACCTGGGTTTTATAATTGCTTTGTTTGGGGGTGGGATTGAGACACGGTTTCATTCTGTAGTCCAGGTTGGACTGAAATTCACTGAATAGCCCAGGCTGGCCCTGCTTTTGTATTACTTCTGCTTCCACTCCCCAAGTGTTGAGATTATAGGTATGAACCCCCATTCCTGTCCTATAAACTTGTTTTGTTGTGATATTAATGAAGGCTAAATGAATTAGTTCCTCCTAATGTCAAAGATTATTAAAGGCTTATGCCACCAAGATTGCCAAGTACAGGGGAATGAGACTGGACCTTGGAACCTGATATTGGGTCCAACATTTATCAGCCCTTGGAATCTACCTACCTGCAGAAAAGTTAAACAAAATTGCCTTAACATTAGCAAAAAGTACCTGTCTGTCCTGCTGAATGTCTATAAAAGCCAGTTAGCTCCTCTTTATGAATGTTGCATTCAATCAGTCTGACATTGCAGGTCATGATTTAATGTCACAGCATTAAATCTTGACGACAGAGCATGTTTACAGAAAAAACAAATAAATGGATTGCAGAGACCATGCACTCCTGTTTTGATGAGTCATGCACTGATCCTCAGCCTATCTGCTCCTGGTAGGTACTTGTAACAGCTCCTTTATAGACATAACTTGTCCTAGGCTGAAATCAGCCAAATACTAGATTGTGTCTCAGTCACTAATGCTGTGGGCTCTGAATTCAGAAAAGCAAAAATAAGTGAAGCCCAGCCTGAGTGAAACACTGTTTTTGAATTAATTTTTTGAGACATAGAATTGTCACTCAGCCTGGGCTTCTTGAACTTCCGGTCCTCCTGCCATTACCTCTGGAGTGCTGAGATTACAGGTGTGCATGACTGTGATCAACCTTTTCTTTTCTTTTTTTTTTTTTTAAGTTCTAAACAGCCAAAATATCTCCCACTGGATCAGTTTGGAGTGACTTGGGTTTCAAGTCTAGAAAAGCTGGCTGCTAGGGTACAGGGCTTTGCTTTTCTCAGCTATCAAGGTGTCAGAAGCTCCCGACTGCTGGCATTTTGGTTTAGTATCTCAACTGTACCAGAATCCTTTGCTTCATAACCCTCCTGATCACAAGATGACTGCAGCCCTACACTTGGCATGAAGTAGAGGGAAAGAAATGGTATCCGGAGATTTGCCATTTCGTTATAAAACAAAACTTTCCCTGAAGCCCTCCCAACAACTTTCTACTGGTAGTTGCCAGTCAGCAAAAGGCACTCAAGGGAGGCTAGGAAATGAAGGCCAAGTGACAGTGAAAACAGGAACTCAAGTCGGGTTAGCCTACAAGTACATGAGCGTACTTGTAACTATTTTCAAATCAGGTCTAGTCAGTAGAACATGGGACAGCAAAGTGAAGGAAATCGTTGCAGGGAGCCCACCAGAGATGATCACTCAGACAGTTTGTAGCCAATTGAAAATCTTCATTCCCAGCCATCTGGGACTACACTCAGGTATTTGGGGATCCAAATATAGCACTGAGCATTTAGACCATGGGGCTTTTAAAGTAAAAAAACCCCACGTACTGTTATCTCAGTCGGCAGCTGCAGGGTGAGGTTTGCACAAGTAAGCAGTTTTACTGAAGCCAAGATAAGCTGTTAGCTGGAGGGGGAAGTTTGCACGAGCAGATAGTTTAATAGAAACCAAGATAAGCTGTTAGCTGGAGGGGAAAGTTTGCACAAGCAGGTCGTTTTAACAAAAGCGAAGATAAGCTGTTAGCTGGAGGGGGATGTTTGCACAAGCAGAGAGTTTAACAAAAGCTAAAATAAGCTGTTAGCTAGAGGCGAAGGTTTGCACAAGCAGAAAGTTTAACAAAAGCTAAGATAAGTCAGCTGGGGCATTTTGACCTCAGATTCCTAGAATGGGGTTGGGTATTTTCCATGGGATTATACATCATAGAGATCAGATTCTAGTTAAACCTGAAATGGCCTGGGCAAGATTACAAGATGGAGGTACTGTCTTCCCCATCACAAAATCAAATCCATCCTGTCATGGGGACTTCAAAATCCTGGTTCCACTTATTTTCCGAAATTATAAATCACACAGGCCACTGAAGCTTTGTTACCTATACTTCCTTTAGTGCCTCTGTGGTTGGACCCAATTTAAACCCCCATTTCCCCGCATTTGCTTATGCTTCCAGTTCAGCTGTACTAGGCCCCTCCCCCTTTTTTAATTTAGTGCATATATGCATGCCATGGTATGCATGTGAGGTCAGAGGACAAAAATCTCTTGGGAGTCATTTCCCTCCTTCCATCGTATGTGTTGGGGGATCAAATTCAGGTCATCCGACCTGACAGCGGGCTTATCTATTACGCCATCTTATCAGCCCTTAGCAAACATCTTGTCAAACAGTATCTCTTCAGTGAGGTGTTCCCTAGTCTCCGCAAACGGATTTGATCCGTGAGCACGTTACTGTCGAAAGCGGCAGCAGCTTGAGGACTTTGCATAGGATATCCAGTCTTAAAAAATGCTTTCTGAGCCGGGCGGCGGTGGTGCCCGCCTTTAATCCCAGCACTCGCGGGGAGGCAGAGGCAGGCGGATCTCTGTGAGTTCGCGACCAGCCTGGGCTACCAAGTGAGTTCCAGGAAAGGCGCAAAGCTACACAGAGAAACCCTGTCTCGAAAAACCAAAAAAAAAAAAAAATGCTTTCTGGAGGTGCTTTGTGTGAGAAGATGCCATGTGCGTGGGGTATTGTGCAGGGGCTTGTGCCTATGCAGACCAAGAGCATGGCTACTGCTGCTCCCATTGGAAGGCTGCTGAAACAGAGACTTAGAAAGGTTCCAGTAGTCCAGAGCACACAGCTGGCTACAGAGGAGACTCAGCTCAGTTCTGCCGGGCGCCAAAAATCTGTTTACTATTGACTGTGAGTGGGTGAATTAGCCTGCCCTCTCCCCCTACTTCACTCACCCTCTGCCTTGGAATTCAGGGGCTCACTTTATTGTGGGATTTCTTTCTGTACACTAGGAATATACGTCGTTCCCATTGCTTAATAAATAATTTTGGTCTATGGCAAAGCAGCTTAGAGGCAGGCGGGAAATAAGGAGAGGAGAGAGAGACACCAGGCGCTCCCCAAGGCGCAGCAAGATGCCAGTAGACTGGTAAAGCCACTGCCACGTGGCAACATAGAGATTAATAGGAATGAATGGGTTACTTTAAGATGAAAGAGCTAGCAAGAAGCTGAAACCATGGGCCATACAGCTTGTAATTAATATAAGCCTCTGAGTGATTATTTTATGAGTGACTGTGGGACCGAAGGTGGGAGAGATTCGTCCAGATGGCTGGGCAAGGCAGGACTGGAGAAATTTCTGGCTACATCACTTAGTTCATTATTTACTTATGAATAAATGAATTAAGTGAAGGCTTTGCCATACTGCAACAGAACACACAAGAAAAAGAGGTGGGGCCATTAAGGTGGCTCAGTGGGTCAAGCATTTGCTGTGCAAGCCTATTGGCCTGAATTTGAGCCCTGCAACCCACACAGAAGTGGGCAAGAACCACTTCACAGAGTTGTCCCTGACCTCTACGTGTGTGTACCATGATGTGTACAACCGTACATCACATATAAAATACTAATTTAAAAAATTACCGCCAGGCGGTGGCGGCGCCGCCTTTAATCCCAGCACTGGGGAGGCAGAGCCAGGCGGATCTCTGTGAGTTCAAGGTCAGCCTGGTCTACAGAGCGAGATCCAGGAAAGGCGCAAAGCTCCACAGAGAAACCCTGTCTCAAAAAACAAACAAACAAAATTACCAGTCAGATTGTCTGGGTTTAAATCCTGATCCATTTAAGCAAGTAGTTTGCCTACCCCGTACTCCAATCTTAAAAGTAAAGCAGGAATAATCACACTTTTTATTATCTTAAGGAGTTATTTGATTCGATTTTTAACAAAATAATACATATAAAGTACTTACAACAGTGGCTGGCATATAACTGCTTCTGATGGTTAATGTCAGTTATCAACTTGACAGTGTATAGAGTCAGCCAGGAGACAAGCTCCTGGGCATGTCTGTGAGGGGATTTCCAGATTTGGTGGAGGTGGGGAAACCCTCCTTAAATGTGGGTGGCACCGTTGCATGGGGTGGGGTCCCAGACTGAATAAAACGAGAAAAATAAACAAGCTGAGCACGAGTGTTCGCCATCCTCTGCTTCCACACGACAGCTGCAGTATGACCTGCTCCCATCCCTTCCCCCCAAGAGCGACTGTGCCCCAAACTGTGAGCCGGAAATCAACCCTTCCTTCATTAAGTATTGTATGGCAGCAACAAGTATGGGAACTAAGACAGTGCTCAATAGATGCTCACTTGTGTTTCTCTAATAACCCTTTTCCAAACCAGCATTAAAAGATCCTTAGAAGACCTCTTCTCCGCAGGGCCACCCCCACACGCCATAGGCACTGGCAGCGCCGCGGGGTGGGGTCCTGCTTCCTGCCGTCTTTCTCTTTCACGAGCACACAGCTGGACTGACTCTCTCCTTTCTCTAATTCCACATCCAACCTCAGCAATATTAGATTTGTGGGTACTAGGGATCAAAGCCAGGGTATCAGGCCTAAGATAGTTTGCTTTTATTAAACTTGTTTATTTATCATTTGTGACAGAGTGTGTACAGCAACCATGTGGAGGTTAGAGGACAACTTGGAGTCAGTTCTTCACTTCCACTATGTGGGTCCCAGGAATGAAACGGGGGTGATCAGGCTTAGTTAGCAGCGAGTCCCTTTATTCATCTTGCCAGCTCTGTTTCCTTCTTCTTTCCTTGCTTGATTTAGTCTTCTGGTACCATAATATATCTTCAAAGAACACTCGGAAAAATAGTTTATACTTCTAAACACTGAGTTTTGCAATTATTTTTTGTTTTTGTTTGTTTGTTTGGTTGGTTGGTTTTGTATGTTTGTTTGTTTTTGGTTTTTCAAGACAGGGTTTCACTATATAACAGCCTTGGCCGTTCTGGTTTGTAGACCACACTGGCCTCGAACTCACAGAGATCCACCTGCCTCTGCCTCCCTAGTGCTGGGATCAAAGGTGTGCACCACCACGCCCAGCCCAAGGTATTTTAATGTTGGCTTAAGCATGAGGGTTAAGAGGAAAAAAGGTGCCCAGAAGGAATGGCAAGATTATAGCCAAGAACTTGGGTATGGGCTTCTCAAAGAAGAGTTGCAGCATGTAAACTGGACCCAGGTGAAGGCACAGGCTCCTCAAGGAGACAGTGGCATGGTGGTGCATGCCTGCAATCCCAGCATTTGGGAGGTGCAGGCAGGTCAGCAGTTATCCTCAGCTACATGGTAAATTCCAGGACAGCCTCCACTATGTCTCAAAAAGAAAAAAATCTGTGCTATTAATAGACCCTAGGATCTGGAAGACTAGTATCTTCTTAAGCTCTGACAAAATTTCATCTATTATTCCATTCATTATGGCTATTCTAACATCTAGATCTACCATATCTCTATTTGGTTTAGTTTGGGACTTATTTTGAGATAGGATTCCATGTAGTTCAGGCTCAAACTTGCTGTATAGACAGGGTTGGCCTTGAACTCCTGATCTGT